CCTCTGTCATTGCCAACAAAGGATATACAACAAAGTATTGAGATGAAATTTTGTTATTGACCAAATACTTACTTATTTTCCACCATTATTTGCAAAAAAATTCTTTAAAAGTCAGACAAAATGATTTTCTCAAATTTTTTTTCACATTTTGTCTCTCATAGTTGAGGTCTACCTATCATGTCAATTACAGGCCTCTCTCATCTTTTTAAGTGGGAGAACTTGCACAATTGGTGACTGACTAAATACTTATTTTCCCCACTGTATATCGGACATTTTTTATGCAGGCCGATAAAATCCGATACTCGTTTTTTGGCTGATATCGGACCGATATCCGATATCGATATCGGATCGGGACACCCCTATTAAATTGTCCTCTGAAGCTGTGAGGGTGACTCAGCGCAGAGTGAAGAGTTGGCAGAAATGGATCTATCTAAGAAAGGCTTAAGTGGTCTTTGTGATTGTGACTTTGTTGCTGACTTCCCTCTAAACAAACACACATCTACACACACTGTGTCAGCAGGTATTGGATCGGTCTCTGACCTTGCCCATCTGTACACACTCTCAGGCACAACCCTCTTTCAGGTTTATAACTGATGCTGATGGTCTGAACTCTGGGTTGTCTGTGGAGCTGAATAGTGTGCACTCGTTCTGTGTACTTAAACAAATAATCCACTATTACTTCCTGTGTTTGTTCTATTTTCATATCCCAAAAGGGAAAGTTGAAAAAAAAAGTCCTACGAATCTCCAAATCCAATCAATATCATCCACCTGCAAAGCTGCAGCTTTAGTGAATGTTGATTCACATACAAACTTGTTGCCTTTTATGGGAAAAAAAAGACAAAGGTTTGATGTGTTTTTAGGACCAGCATCTATTTTGTCCAATCTGTTATTTATTTTTTTCATGAGATAATTAAAGAGCATTTTCCTCTTTATATAAACAGGGTTTGGTTTCTGTGTTTTGTTGACAATTAACGGCTGCTTTAACCAACCATCCCATTTTCTTTTAGATTTTTTCCTCTTTTTTTTTTTTAACTGTAACAGAAGTATGCAAATCAAAGTCAATATTTTGTCAGGGTTGTTGAAACAGTCTTGGCTCATTATGTTCTTCTAAAAGCTCCACACAAAATCTGATTGTGGCAACGTGTGACTTTAGGTAAACAAGCTCAGTGAGCACTCTAATGCACCGGGGTAGGTGATCAGCATCAGTCCTTAGAGAATTAATATGCTGTCATTAAAACTCATTTTGTTATTAAAGCTTGAGTGTTTCCTTGACCACAGGTACAGAAAGGAGAAAGGGGGGCTCTGCAGTCATTGAGTGGGAGTTCCTTGGTTTGTGGGAGGAGTTTGTTAAATACGTGATTGCTCGGATTTACAATTTTGGGTGGGGTCTGAAGAAGACTAGCTGAGGGACGTGTAACTCAGTCGAAACAGCCAGAAAGCGCCCATAATTTTAAATATAAATTAACTTATTTTATTTATTTACCAGGCAAGTCCCATTGAGATCTCAGATCTTTTTTTCAAGGACAGCCTGGGCCTGAAGGCAACATATTGTACATGTTTTTAGGGGTGGAGGAAACCGGAGTACCCGGAGAAAATCCAAACAAGCACGAGGAGAACATGCAAACTCCACACAGAAAGAATCCAGGACCAAACCGGGGATCGAACCCAGAACCTTCTTGCTGTGGGGCGTCGGTTCTAAACACAGAGCTGTCGTGCTGCCAAATATTATTAATATATAAATATTAATTTTAGTAATAGCCCAAGTTGTAGTCGCACCAAATTTGAAGTCAATAAGTTATGTTTACATGTTCACAATAATTCTATTACTTCCATTACTGCATCTTTTAATTTGCCCTCAAGACAAGTCAGTCTGACCAGTCGCAGTTTTGCCAAACTCCGTCCACACCAAAAACCTACTTCAATCATTGTTGGGACAAACTCCGCCCACACGAAAAACCTACTTCAAAGTTAGGACAAACTCCGCCCACACCAAAAACCTACTTCAATCATTGTTGGGACAAACTCCGCCCACACCAAAAACCTACTTCAATCAATGATGGGACAAACTCCGCCCACACTAAAAACCTACTTCAATCATTGTTGGGACAAACTCCGCCCACACCAAAACCTACTTTGATCAATGTTGGGACAAACTCCACCCACTGTGAGGATGTGTAGAATGACCCAGGGCGCAGGCAGGATCTAAAGTGCAAAATAAGAGTTTATTAAGAAAACCAAAAATAACAGTTGACACTGCAGCAAAACTCACTGGAACACGAAGGAGACGCAGGACACCTCACTGGCTGAGGGAAGCAGCACAGTGATTGGACAAACACTGAAGACAGGACACAGAATATAAAGGCAAACTAATTAGGGCAACAAGACACACCTGGAGCAGACACAAGAGGACACAGGTGAGAGAGGGCGGGGCTACAGGGCAGAGAAACACAGGGCAACACTGAAAACACTAGAAAACTAAGGAAAATAAACACAGACCATGACACCCACATCAAAAAACTCCTTCATTCAATCTTAGGACAAACTCCACCGGTCACTGTTAGGACCAACTCTGCCCCCACACACACAAAAAATGCCACCAATCACAGTTAAGACAAACTCCGCCCACAGGACCAAGAACATCCGCCTATACAAACTCACCCCCACTTTATTGAATGAGGTCATGTGTAGTGAATGCTTTAAAAAAAGTGGCTAAAGTTCACTTAGAGCTTAGTTGAACTAGTTATTCAGAAATGTTTAAAAAGGTGGAACTAAACAAAGTGATCCACTTTTTTAATAGTCTTACAATCCCAGCAGCAAAACACTCTTTCTATTATACATGTTTTATTATGCCAGGATTAGAATCACCTGCCATGATTTGACATGTTTGGGTAATTTTACATCTTCCTTTCTTTGTAGCCAAAAAGAAGCAGTTTCAGGTGATGAGGAAGATGCACTATAATGAGGGCCTGAACATAAAGCTAGCTCGCCAGCTAATTGCTAGTGAGCTCGAGGAGGATGAAGACGAAGACGAAGAGATGAGGGAGGACACAGAGGAACTAAGGGAGGACACAGAGGAACTAAGGGAGGACACAGAGGAGACGGAGGAGATCAGTGTTGACCCACCACAGGAAGGTAAGGAGGGGAAAACGTTGCACATAGGATGAGTTAAGCTGACAGGCTCTGTGGGGGATGGGTACTCGTGTGTGTGCGTGTGTGTGTGTGTGCGTGCATGTGTGTGTGGGAGGTACAGTTTGTTTAGAAAAACTCCACAATGTCAGAACATGTATTGTAGAATCAGACAGTTATGGAATATAACAGAAGTAAAGTTTCCACATGTGTAAATGTTGTGTGTCTTCTTTCCAGTCGACTCCCTGGATTCCTAGACGAGGGCTGTCTCCCTCCTTCAGCCTCGTGTCAACTCAGAATCCTGAGACATGCAGCAGACACCACCTCACCTCCCACATAACATCGTCTCTCAACAGCCAGTAACTTTCCGGTCACCAGTCTGCCCCCTGCCACTCAGTGCAATACACCTTTCAAAATCCGTTGGACGTCAGCTCTCATGAAGACTGGTGCTGGTTCTCTCTCTCTCTCTCTCTCTCTCTCTCTGCCTCCTGTTGCCAAGAATTTCCTCCTCACGCCTCGTCTGGACCGGCTTTGCACTGAAGAATATGTTATTCTGACCCTGAAAGGAGGATCACGGCCTTTAAACAAAAACAAGCAAACAAAAATAAAACTTGAGGAACAGGAAAAGCCGCCTGACTGAACCAGCGCGTCAGTCCTGGAAGAAAGCCTGGGAAACCCCACGGCATCTGAAGGACTGCTGAGACATGATGACTGTTTTTAAAGGCTGCACCTCGCAGTTTGTTCTCCTTTCTGACTGACCATCCTGTTGTTTTCTTTCCATCCCTGATCAAAGTTTCAAACTATTATTTCTTTTAAATCTCTTCTTACATTGTTAAAACCAGTAAATTCCTTATTTGATGACTCTTTTCAAGAGAGGTTATTTCACTTTAGCGCAAGAGTTTTAATCTAATTAGGGAAGTATACCAGCCTAAGGAGTAGTATTGACTAAATACTCATTACTTGCCTTATAACCAATAATAATTTTTGTGAATTGACTTGTGTCTGCTGCAGTTTGGTGGTTCTCAACTTTAACAGCAGATGAAATTAGGACGAGGGGAGCTGAACAATGATTTTTATTGCTGAACCTGAATCTTTTTTACTTCAGCCAAACGAAGTATGTTTTATTCTGAGTTTCTGAGGATGATTAAAAACAGTCATTTCTGCTTGAATTTTTTTATTAGAGCCTTTGAATGAGATGACGTTGCAGAAAAAACGTTTGAGAACCACTTCCTGTGGTGTTTCAACGTGATGCTCGACTTTATAAATGTACTTTTTTCCCCCTAATGAGCAATCAGCTCAGCCGACCCCATTTCAAGTTTACAAACATGCACATCTCATGAAATCAGAAACGGAACTACTCGAATAGTAACATGTACTCACTCTGGTTTCATTAAAGTACTACAGTTATCTTTTGTTTTACATGATTACTGTTAATAAAACACGACAGCACAAGCTGGTCAGGTTTTACTAACTTAAAGGTAAAGTCGCTGTATTAATTTGCAGTATTTTATTTGGAGGTACAGTATTGAAGTATAGCTGCTGAGGTTTTGACGCGTTACTGGTAAAACAGGACAATTTCCTGTAGCTTTTACCAAGTAACAGCTTTAAATATCTGTAGGCACAAGAGTCCAGCACACTGCGCTTTTTCCTCATAGATCTGTACATCACCAAACAAATTTAGTAAATTATTAATAAGATGCTTTTTATTTCTTTTGCTTCACTATATTTTATTGCAACAATGTCTAATCTACTTAAATGTCTTGCACAGTTCAGCTTGGGGACATCGAGGATGGAGATGTTTTTTTGATGCTACTGACTTAAAGAGGATGATGGTGGAGAAGTTAAACCACTAAAGTGTATCAGAGGCATTCAGGGAACTTTTGTACCATTTCACAGTTTGGCCAGGTGTGAAAGTGTCGCTACAAAGTCTTAAAAAAAAATACAAAAAAAAAAAAAAAAAAAAAGACTGAGGGGGCATCCCTAATATTTCTCTTGACTGTGAGACTTGACTGCAAATTGTACGACTTCACTTTTCAAGTGAATAAAAAAAAACGGCATGGTATGAAAAGCAAACAGGAAGTACGTTTTGTCATCTTTTTGTTTCCTTTGGCCCTTTAATGCCTCACTGTGATCTTTCAGCTTTGTGTTGTTGAAATACAAAAGATCCCAATTTATACCACAAACTCTGCCAACGACCGTTTTTATTTCCTATAGTTGAAAATTTGACATCGTTTTTCACAATGTGAGGGGAAAATAGGTTTTCACCAATAAAATGGACTGTTTATTGATATGAGAAAAATACAAGAAGTTAATTAACTGTTTTTTTTCTTTTTACAAGAAATTGATAACTATTGTATTTTGCCTCAGTTGATAAATTTTAAAAAGACACTTGCAATGAAGTTGAAGTGGTTTTTTTTCCCACCTTGAAAGAAAACATGACTGACATCACCTCACAGGTGGTTATTACCCATCAAATGTGCCTCTACCGTATTTATGTAAATGTGTGTTGATCAAACAAGCTTCATATTCCCTTTTCTTTTTTGTTAATTTTTTATTGCCTTTGGTTTTGCATCAGTTCTCCCCGCCTGTGTTTAGTTCAGTTTTGTTTTGTTTAAAGATGACAGATATTTAAGCAGCCCTGCCACTCAGCTGTGTCTCAAAAAATGATGTGGATGTCAGCCATATTTTATTTTTCCTATTTCCAGTTTGCACGTTCTTAATCATCAAACTGTGTGTACTGTTTTTGTTTTGTTTCTTCCTCCATATCATTAAATAGACATTGTTAGAAGCTAGTGTCAGATTTGTTTGATTTGTGAGAAAAATCTTTCGATGGCTTTTGGAGCACACCATATTTTACTTTCTTGTACAAATGGCCTTTTATTTTGAAATTACCACCATATTCCTCTTATGTGTGTTATGTTTAAAACAAGGTAATTGTAAACATGTTACCCACCAGATAGCATTAAAAAATTATTCAGCTAATTCTCTTCTAAATAATAAGTGTAAAACTGACTCCATCATATAATAATGGACTGCTGATCAAACAGAACTTGTGGCTTTTAACAAGTTCAGTTTTTAAGTATATTCTTTAGATGTGTGCTGCACCAAACAAAATTAGTAAGCTTTTAAATGTATTATCTTTGTTATTAAACAGAAATATGTACACTTTATTTTTTATAAACTTTGGTTCAGTACAGATTTAAACACTAATTCATCTAATGTGCAACTACCAGGAAGTGCAGTTGATTAATAGGGACATAAACAGGAAACATTTGCTTGTCACACAATATGCAAACAACACAAAATACATATTGCTTCTGCATGAAATACTCAAAAATTTGATGTGTTTATGCATCAGAGTCACGTGGGAAAATAGCTGCCATTGTGTCACCACCGGCTTTCCTTAGAACATGATGCAAACAGCGCCATCTAGTGGGAATAAATAAGGCTTGTGTTGAGCGTTTATCCCTACAGTTCAATTTTTTTTCTTTTCACCATCCTGACATTTTAGTGTCATGAATCAAATGCAGTGAAACAATACAAATGCACATCTTTCTGTTAAATAATAGATTAGTTTTGTTTGGTAAAGCACAGATTTGAGGACAATTGTTAGAAAGTCACATCATTTTACATAAATTGAGCGAAGGTTAATGTTATAGTTCAAAATCCTTCTTAAGACATTATGTGAAATCTCACAAGATCGTCATTTCTCATCATAAGGTGGTTTTGATGTAACACTCTGGCATAAAATGCAGCGGGTGATATGCATCATTGATCATTCCTTTGAGGAACAGGCCTTGATTTGTCGCTGCAGGGAGAACAGCTGAACACTAGAGGGCAGCAAAAGATTTAAGGATCCAGTTGTGGAAGCGTTTTCACCACAACTTTATTTACAGCCTCATTTGCACAAGGCAATTTCACATGAACTGAAAGTCTTATCAGAAACAAGTTTTACATTTTAAAAATGAAACAATAAATTCAACATTTGTTTCCATCATGCTGTTCTGGTAAATGATCCCTTGGGCTAATAAAAGTTTATTGTAAAAGTCTTTTAATGTCTTTAAAAGACTTTTAATGTCTTTAAATTTTGAGCTTTTGGCCTGCTAAAGACGTGTTGAAGTATGTTGTTGTTTTTAGGACAAACGTCATTACGACCTGGAACTAAAATGACTAGAGAGCATTTTCTGTCCGTGCTGATTTGGAGGTAGTACCGTTCACAGGAACTGGACTGTCATTCTAGCCGTGTCCTTGTTAGCTAGCTGCAGTAGCAGGCAAACAGATGTGTAGAATAGGTAAAGATGAAAACTGTGTTTGAGGGGTGAATCTGATAGAGACCGACCTTCAGCCGCTGCTAACAGCACCATGTTGCGTGTCGGGAGCAAAGCTGCCTGGTAGGTTTTCCATTTACTGAAGGTAACGAGAGCCGAAGCTAATGCTAACTGTGTCAGGTTTAATAAAGTGCCTTCTTGTGACAGCCGAGGACTGACCAACAAGATGTCTGAGCATCTGCTAAAAAAAGATACATGCTTAAAAATATTAATTACTTGGTAGATTTTTAAAAAAAATCTTCCCACGGACTTTAAATTATGGATGTCCCCGGTATGCAGTGTGTGGTCTTGGCTCGGCTAGCTCTATAGTGTACTAGCTTCTGTACCCGAAAGAAGACCGTTAAATACAGTGTTTCCCCTAGGAAATTGGTCTTGGTGTGTGTGTGTGTGTGTGTGTGTGTGTGTGTGTGTGTGTGTGTGTGTG